AGGATTGTTGATGAGACGGTGGACTAGTGCCATAGGCTTTCTACAACTTAGTTCCCAACTAAAAATTGAGGAATCTTTTATTGAAGGTCTTAGGGAATTGAAACGTAGAAAGTATAATCAATTCGTACATTAGAAACTCAGAACAAAATAAATCTGATCTGAACAGCAGTTTTTACTGTCAGAAGGAATGACGGCGCAGTTATCCGTAGTAGTAAATCCAAGTTTAGAACTGTTTTGTATGGGGTAAAGGGAGGAAGGTGTTCAACTAACGACGACTAGATGTTAACTGATTTATATCTCTAATCCTGGTGATGTCATATACATCAATACAATGTCAACTGTCTCGGCACTGTTGCCAACTTAAGATTAAAGAAGCGTGTCCAGTAAGCGGAACACGCTACATTTCCCCTTTTAATAAAGTTTATATAAAGTATAACATAATATAACATATAAAGTATAACAGTACATAAATAGGGGTGTAAAGAAATTTGAAACACATTCTAGTTAATAATTATTATGTAATAATACCTATACTATAAGCAATCTTAAAACTAAGACTTATGACAGGTTCTGTATGTACAGCGAAACCTTGATTTGAAAATTGCTCAATTATATTATGTATATTATTTAAATGACATATACTTTGAAAAATGCGAAGGTGCCATCATGCATGTGCAACTCTTATGGCGCAATTTGTTCCGCTAAAAGCTTGCGACTACAGACGGCAGAGGCGCTGTCGTCCAATGCTGTTGTCACATTTATACATAAAAAGTACAGTCCATTTGTTTTAAAAAGCTTCCAACAATGGAAAAAAAGTTGTGTGCCTCGCTAACATATAATTGCCAGTAGTACGATTTGAAATTACATTTCTTTTTCAAAAGAAATATCCCATACTTTAGACATGTGGCAGCGTCGCTTCACTTTCACTTTTTCATCATATTTTGACAAATTTTGACATATTCCATTTTTATTCAATAATTTGAATCAGAAATTGAAAATTTTCTCCGTTCAAAGCAAAATAGTTAAATCTTGTTGTGTGGCAATGTGTGAAAGCCGAGGGAACAGAGTAAAAATGCATCGAATTCCCAAAAATGATGAGCAGGTATGTTTCTATCCCTACATTATACCGAAATCGGGATTTTACCTCCTGTAATTTTACCACTGTAACTTTTCTTTCTCTTTAGGTGTTTATTTTAAGCCTGCAAAACGTTTACAATCAAAAAATCGTATCCACTGTAGGTAACTATTATTGTCTGGATTGATATCATACTGTATAGTTAATAAAGTAATTCAAAATTGTTATTTTTGTATTTAATACATGGATTAATTAGTATGTAACTCTTCGGTATGTGATCAAGAGACTGTTTACCATAATTTTATTTCCACTAGAAACATATTAAACTGTTTAGTGCTAGTGGCAATAAAAAATGATAAACGGATCCCAAAGAAAAAAAATTAAATTCAAAAAGGAGCGCTTCCCGCGCTCTCAAGTTACTGACTACACACGCGAGAGGGCGCTGTAATCAGTAACAAAATGTTTGTATTGAGTTGCCCATCTATATTATAGGTTCGAGAGAGTTTTGTATCCCTTATCTATGGGTGCCATACTCGCTCTGCCAGACTTTGTAGTGATATTTTGATTATTGAATTCCACTAAAGCATCTGCAGCCCAAGCGGAACTTGGTTCTATAACAGGATTCTCTCCAACCACTCTCGCACTGCTTCGATCATCCAGCGAGCTATTTGACAGACTTCCAAAGCTACCATTGTTAATGCTAATTCAACTATCAAAATTTGTATTTTGATATTCCTCTGAGGTGTTAGAATGGTTAAATTCGAGATTAACATCATGGTCTATAAGTTCAGTGAGCCCTTTTGTAGGACTACATCGTTCTACTTCTAAATATACACGTTTTACAACATTATTACTGTCATAGTCTGATTTATTGAAGGGTGGTGCAAAGTGTTTCTTAACTGGTTCTTTATTAATTCTCAAAAATCTTCTATTTCGCACTAACATTGTTCCATCCTACCGACTGCGCCATGTGTTGTGTGGGGTAAAGGACGACTAGATGTTGACTGATTTATATTTCAAAATCTCTAATCCTGTTGATGTCATGTACATCAATACAATGTCAACTGTCTCGGCACTGTTGCCAACTTAACAATAAAGAAGCGTATCCAGTAAGCGGAACACGCTACAAGAACTACTTAGGTAGCAAATTAGTGGATTATATCAATGCCGTAGAAAATACATCTGGAAGGCTTCTAGATCAAGCTTCTTGGAACGCGATCTTGTCCACAAATATCACTGAAACTGTAGATTCTATAGGAGCAGAATTCACCTTCAATTCTTGATTGGGGTATAGTTCAAGATTCCAGAGTAAAACTAGTTGGATATATTTTTGAGAGATCTTATGCTATTAACTGTTCTGTAAACAGATCTTTCTGCTTCTTTGTTCTTTGCGAAATCGCATGCTAAATATGGACGGATTTGATGCTGAATAGCAATATTAGTGGTACGCTAATGATATTTTCCAGGCTTCGATCGATAATTTTAACGAGAAATTAAATTAACCCTGGAACGGTTTTCCATAAGCGCCAAATATTATCTATTAGGTAACACTTCAATCGACAATTTTTTAGTGGATCACGTTGGGACAAACAGAATTTTTGAATATTTTTGGTGAAAATAAAGAAACCAATAACACAAATATAATCTCTCCCCACTATTATGCCTGTTCAACATCAAACGAAAGCCATAAAATAAAAATTTAAGATGTGCCTTTAGCCAATAAAGTAGGATACGAAAAGTTCTGATTCGCCGGGAATCGTTTCTTGAGCCCCTCTATATCGAGAGCGGTCCCCCCTCTATAATATCGCCGATTTATACGCATTGAGCTTCCTCGCATATCGCTATATATCAAAAAGCAATCGCACCGATCCGCTATATGGGGGGTTTTAAACCATTCGCATTAGATATAATTTAATCTGATTTATTTAGAGCGAAATTCCTTTCTTCTTTAAATGCTACCTCCAGTTCTGAGTGATTTTGTGTACGTGGGCTCAACATATTTGGTAATTATTAGCGATTTGGTAATTATTAGCGATAAATTGAATACCGAAATTACTCAAGAGTCATCAGCAATAGACTCTCCAACACGTTTGATAGTTATACAACCTCTAGAGACGAAGATTCCCTTCACAAAAGTGCAAAAATGCCAACAAAACTGTCTTTCTCATCCCCAAATTTTGTACCAAAACTCTAATCAATTGCGCCTCATGTCCTATCATTATCACGATATTAGATAGATAAACAAAATCAGGAAAAAAAAAACACATACCCCGACTAAATCCTATATAAATAATGGTACAAATCAAAATTAATAAATTCCAACTATTGATATTGCTTATCTAAGACTAATTAATCTCTTATTATGAAATTAAGTCCCCATAAATCCCCATTTAATGAATTGAAAACCCAATTTTCATGCAGATGGTTTAAGTCAATCCAAAGATTAAAAGTAAATTTAATTGAAAAAAATCAATTGCAAATAAATAGAAGAAAAAAAATTCTTCTCAAGAATATTGTATAAACGTCTTTCCGTCCTTCTAATGTCGCCTTGATCAGATTAGAATGTGTTTACATACCAATTTACAGTTCGTAGAGCGACATCGTCAGTCAGTCAGTTTGTTTGTTTTGTCAATAAGATGAAGCATTTCTCTCTTATTGCTTCTCTATCTCCTTCAGGCTACAAAATTCAATCTGGAGAACCTTTTCAGCTTTGGAACGGACATTTGGCTAATCCATTAATAAAATACAAAACCAGTAATTATTTCTGGAGTTGCCATTAGTTATCTTCAATTTTTAGAAATTTTGGCCTCAAAAGATTATCCATTCTAAGATAATAGTGCAGTTTGTATTAACCTAATGCATTCAAATATACACTAAGAGCTCTTGGGTTTCATACAAATTGCACAAAGAAAATTATAAAATCGTTTTATTATTAAAGTTCCACATCAGTATTTCAAAAATTAAAAAAAAATACCTTCATTTAACGATAATATATCTCATTATGGTGTTGAAAAAAAAAGGGGTAAAAATAAGTGTTAAGAGGCAACAAGGGCAATCGCACTTATCGCCAAACCAGTCGTCTATCCAAACAGGGTCCCAATTTAACAGATGATTAAATACAAGTGCAATTTATTATGAAAACATAAACCAAATGCACCAGCCGAAACGTTTTTAAGCTCCGGCATTGGGGAGGTTGAAATCCTCTTTTCGTCGTCCACCACCCCCCCTTATTTTGTTCTTGCCATTCTTCTGCCGAAGCTGAGGGTTAAATTAGGGTGTAGTTAAATGTATTACGATATTAAATTATCATGACAATGGCACAATCAGAGGGGGGTGCCGGTGATAAATACAGTGCAAACATACGGACCTTTTTGGCCACAGGTTTTATACCCAGCGCAATATGCTGGCAAATTAGGAGAAGGCGGAGAGAGTGCCACTTTACAGCTATTATGAATATTTATTATTATATCAACAAATGATTATAAATTACAATATTTTATAATAATAAGCTTATTATGTCACTACATTAGGAGAGGAAATTCATTACCGCACTATAGGTTTTAATACTACCTTACTTAGACCTGGTTTATTCACTTTCTGATAGACTGTAGTAGTTTGTAAAATATCTATTTATTGTTTGAAAATTCCTTACATAGATTTCCTGTATAATGATAATTGAATTATTGTAATTACAAATATCAGAAAAACCATAATTAGGCAGAAAAATCCATTACCAATTTATAAATCATTTCTCCTCAATTTATCTAGAGACAAAGTTCCACCCCTAACTAATCCATACACTCAATGACCGAACACGATATACATTAATAAAGCAAGATTAAGCCAATTCCTCTAATTGCCTTTATTGGCGAAAAGTTTCTTTTCAATGAGAATAAGGCTATAGATTTTTGTTTTTCTTTTCCAGGCTGTAGTCCAGGTAGTCATGCTTTACTAGGAAAAACTAGAAGACCGAGGACGGCGTTCACGTCCCAACAACTATTAGAATTAGAAAAGCAATTTAGACAAAACAAATACTTGTCGAGACCTAAGAGGTTTGAAGTAGCAACGAATTTGATGTTAACTGAAACACAAGTAAGTATAATGCATGTTTTTCCCAAAAATATAAAAACATCCAAAAGAAAAGTACCTATCCCTTACATTTTTTTTTTTTTTTGTTAAGCTAAAAACTGTTTTCTTGCGACTGAAGAGTTATGTCGAGCTGTTAAAGATAAAATCAAACAAACTGACGGGAGTCGTATTTTAGGATTTTGGATAAATAACTGGGGACGAAACGTAGACATTTATCAGAATTTTCGGAAAGCGACAAGATGGTTTAGTAACTAAAAACTGTAAAAAATTGAAATGTGCGTGAAGGGTCTTACGCATATAGAAGATTTAGAATCTGACCAGCCTACATATCATATGTCTATATGTGGGTATTTTTGGGTTTAATTTAGGATTTTGATCATCATACGCAGATATGAATTAGAACATGTTAGAACAGATTTTCACTTGGAACATGCTCAAATAAGAATATTAATCCTGATCTTACTGGTTCAAAACATAGATTATTAGAGTATCCGCAGAGTGTTTACTGTTAATTTTTGAGACGCTCTTGGATTATGAATGGCTGACTTCAATAAGAATTTTGAAGTAAACTGGTCATTGATCCGAAACATGTTTAAACCCAAATCCAGAAGTGAATTAGAGTAACTGCAATTGAGAATCCTGATGTATTCTTGCATCATCATCGAAAAAAAATCTAATTTTGAAGATGCTTCGGATGTGGATTTTGGTTTTATTTGGAAACAAACTTATTTTACTGTCTGCAACGATGCTTAAATCCAAATCCTGGAATAAATTGCAGTACTTTCCTGTACACATTTGATTTGAATTGGAAGAGGTTCGATTTAGATTCCTAAAGCACATTGGATCTTCATCAACCGAATTTTGATTAGGAACATGCTCAAATTCAAATCTTAAAGTGAATCGAAGTAACAGCAAACAGACTCTGGTTCAGTATTTAAAATCCTGATCCAATTTCGTATTTGGAACATGTTCAAATAAGACAATCTTGGTCCAGACTGATCTTGGTCCAAAACATGCTGAAAAAAGGTTCTTTGCGTAGATTGGAGTGTCAGAGATTCGTATTTAGTATTCTGAGGCACTCTTGGATTATAATTGGCTGATTTCGAACATACTCCAATAAGAATTTTCATGTTATTTTGACCCAAACTAGTCGCTGCGATCTGAATCCTGGAACTAAATAAGAGTAGCTGCAATTCAATTCTGATTCAAAATCAAAACCTCTCCAATTCACAATCTTGACACATTCTTGGATCATCATCGATAGAATTCTGATTTTGAAGATGCTCAAAATATGAACCTTGGTTTCATTTTGAAACAAATTCATTTTACTGTACGCAACGATGCTTAAATCCGAATCTTGGAATAAATTGAAGTACTTTTCTATACACGTTTGATTTGAAAGAGGTTCAGTTTAGAGTCCTTGGAACATCATTGACCGAATTTCGATTAAGATCATGCTTGAGTAAAAACCGTTCTAACTGTAGTTCTGAGACATGCTCAAATTCAAATCTTAGAATGAATAGAAGTAACAAGAAACAGATTCTAGTTCAGTTATTCAGAATCCTGATCCACTTTTGTATCTTCCTAGTCAGAATTCTGATTTAGCGCACGCTTCAAGAATAATCTTGGAATCTCCATGTCTTTAAATCGAACAAACTGATTTTGGTTGCGATTTAGAGCAACGTTTTCAGGAGTAGATACAAAATCGTTCCAATTTAGAATCTGATCAGCCTACTTGTGTGGGTTTTTTTAGGTTCAATTTAGGATTATGATCATCATTGGCAGAGATGAATTAGAACATGTTAGAGCAGATTCTCACATGGAATATGTTAAACAAATAAGAATCTTGGTGCAAATAGATCTGGGTCCAAAACTTTCCGATTATTTGAGCAGATTGGAGTATCAGAGATTCGTAATTTGTTTGCTATTTTGGAGGAAATTGTTCCCACTAGTTCCGAAACATGCTTAAATCCGAATCCTGGAGTGAATTTTAATTTAAAACCTTTTCAATTGAGACGCATTCTTGAATTATCATCAATAGAAGTCTCAATTTGAAGATGCTCAAAATACGGATATTGGTTTTATTTTAAAAAATTCATTTTACTGTCTACAACGATGCCTAAATCCATATCCTGGAACTTTTCCATACACATTTCATTTGAAAGGGTTTCAATTCACAATTCTTGGTTCATCATTAAGAACATAGATACAAGCTTAAATTCGATTCTTAGGTGAGTTGAAGTAACAGCAAACAGATTCTAGTTCAGTTATTCAGCATCCTGATCTACTTTCGTATCTTCCTGGTCAGAATTCTGATTTAGTGCATGCTCGAGGAATAATCTTGGAATCTCCATGAATATCTTTAAATCGAACAAAATAATTTTGGTTGCCATTTAGAGTAACTTCTTCAGGAGTAGATACAAAATCATTCCAATTTAGAATCTGATCAGCCTACTTATGTGGGTATTTTTAGGTTCAATTTAGGTTTTTGATTACCATTGACAGTGATGAATTAGAACATGTTAGAACAGATTCTCACATGGAACATGTTTGAATAAGAATCTTGTTGCAAACTGATCTTGCTCCAAAACATCCTCAAATCCGGTTCTTTGAGTAGATTGGACTATCCACAGATTAGTAGTTTGTTGAATTTAAGATTCTGAGGCACTCTTGGATCATGATTAGCTGATTTCGAACATGCTCGAATAGGAATGTTTAAGTTATCTTGGAGCAAACTATAGTCACTTATCCGATACATGCTCAAATCCAAATCCTGGAGTGACTTTTGAATTAAAACCTCCTTAGTTGAGACGCATTTTTGGATCATTATCGATAGAATTCCGATTTTTACATATTGATTTTATATTGAAGCAAACTCATTTTACTGTTTGCATCGATTCCTAAATCTAAATCCTAAAATAAATGGAAGTACTGTTCTATACACATTTGATTTGAGAGAGGTTCAATTTAATGCACCTTGGATCATAATTGACCGAATTCCTATTAGAAAAATATTTAGTTCATTAAAGATATTGATATTATTTTGGAGGACACCGTTCTCACTAGTTCCAAAACATGCTTAAATTCGAATCTTTTAGAGTGAATTGAAGTAACAAGAAACAGATTCTAGTTCAGTTTATTCAAAATCCTAGTCCACATGCTTGAAGAATAATCTTGGAATCTCTGTGAACGTCTTAAAATCGAACAAATTAATTTTGGTTGCAATTTAGAGCAACGTTTTCACAAAAAACTACTGCCAGGACACAAGGACAGTAGGACGCTTTCTACCGATAGCGCCACTGCAGCCACAAACGAACTTGAATCACAACTTGAGTCGAAGTGGAAAGAACTAGTAAGCCCAGAAAAAAAATATGATAGCCCCTGATAAAGCCCCTCAACTTCAAACCCCCTCCACAAGCAAGCCAACTGCATGGGACACCCAGAAGAAACAGTAGCCAGACAACATCAGAGAAAACAAGGGCGTCCAGCGATCACTGGAACTAAGACGCCAGAAAATCTCCAAATATCAGCTGCTAAAATCTCTTCCAAAGCTTCCATATTTGTACGCAAGCTCTCCAACAATGTCACCAAAGAAAACTTGCTGCTATACCTACAAAATACTTTTGCAAGTGATCAAGAATACACTCTGGAGAAAATCAATACAAAGTCAGGGGACTACAAAGGCTTCAAAGTCGAAGTAAATAAAGATATGGAAACTTCTCTACTGGATCCCAACAAATGGCCTGTTAGTGTGGAAGTTACAAGATTTCGATCCTTTCGTCCAAATACTAGATTCACCTCAGCTCGGGGGCCAAACAGGGGATTCTCAGCACGAGGCCCAATTTTTCGCCGCACAATCCAGCAATAACTGCCACATGCACCGCCTAACCTCTAACTTGCGCAACATAGACGAAACTGTCAGCTGTTACTACTAGAATGCAAGTGGTCTAAGATCTAAAACCCACCAACTTTCGACACATTCAGTAGCTTCAAACTTGGATATAATAGTCATCACCGAAACCTGGCTAAACGAAGGCTTCACAGATGCAGAACTGTTCTCTTCTGAGTACATGGTCTTTAGACAAGACCGCGACTATGCAACCTTAAATACTGCAAGAGGAGGAGGCGTACTCATAGCAATTTAAAAGCACATACAAAGTAACTTAAACAGAGACACGCCAGTGCTTCCTTCATAATTTTTGGAGACCAACCTGCCACATCTTATCCAAGATGAGGACTGCTTAGTAACGGAGTTGACCCACAGTGATAACGAAACGGCTCTTGTCTATGGAAATTATGGAATGAGCCTTTTAGGGCCATATTCTCCGTAGTTCATATAAAGCCTGGCTTAGTGGAAACGCTTGGTTTTTTGTGTGACAAAGCCGAGCTTTTCCACGAAGCCAGGCTTTATGAACTACGGAGAATATGGCCCTTAGAACTTGACCAGCTTAACAGTGTAAGGAACTCTCATAACAGGCAACTTGACCTGATATTTACTGACTCACTGGGCAATACTAATGTGTTTAAAAGTGACTTTCCGCTCACAAATGTGGTAGATATACACCCTCCACTGGAACTGACATTCAAAATCCAATCTACTCCCACACTAAAATCTGATGAAAAATTGTCAGTTTTTCAGTTTAGACGTGCCGATTCCCACGCACTAAATGCGTTTTACAATGACTACAACTGGGAGTTCTTGAACCTAACAGGAAACAGCATCAATGTAAAACTCAATAAATTCTATGATGCTATCTTTCAGGGCATCGATCGATTTGTACCCAAGAAGCGCATGAGATTAGACAAAATATCCCAAATGGTTCATCTCGCACCTCAGGAACCTCATAAAAAGAAAAAACCGCCTTTATAAGAAATACCGGAAATCCCGGTCAACTCAAGCTTATCAATCCTAATCTGAAGCGCGGAGGGAGGTTAAATACCATGCCATACAGAAATGTGTTACCTTCTGCATATCACAAAAACAGAGTACATGATTCCTGGCAATATTAAACACTTCTGGTCTTATGTTAAATCACTTAATAGAAATTACGGTTTACCTTCTGAAATGCGCTTTAATGGATCTTCTTCCACCAATCCTATTCAAATAGCAAACTTTTTTGCCGAACACTTTAAAAGCTGCTACTCAGATCATAGCTCAGTAACGATGATAAGATCATAGCCGTTACTAACGGCTAACGAGCAACACTCCGTGCCGTTTGGAGGGCACTTAGCAGATCACACTTTTACCGCCCAAGAAATCAAAGCAAAAATAAGCAAACTGGATGCATCCAAGTCACTTTAAACATGCTCATTGTCTTCTGTACGCTGACGACTTGAAAATCTTCTGTACCGTCAATCTAACAACACAGACACTCCATACTGAACTCAAATCAATTTGTAGGATGGTGTGGAATAAACCACCTTGATGTTAATGTTGGGAAGTGTAAACATATGTGATTTTACCGAATCCAAAATCCTGTTACCACGGTTTACGAAATAAATAACAGAGCTAGAAACCGTCAACAGAATAAAGGATCTAGGTGTCATTTTTGATACAATACTGACTTTCAATAATCACATCGACCATGTTATTACCAAAGAATTCCGACTATTAGGCTTCATGAAGCGGAACATCAAAGACATTGATGACGTGAAAGCGATAAAATGCCTGTACAACTGCCTTGCTAGAATATTGCAGCATTGTTTGGAGCCCAAGCTACAATATCCATGTCAACCGCATTGAAAGGGTCCAAAGTAAATTTGCTAAATATTTACTCTTCAAATTAAACTTTTCATATAGACAATTGGACTATGACACTAGATTTGCACTTTGTGGAATGAAAAGTTTAGAAACTCGCAGGAGAAACTCCCTGATAGCTGATAGTGTTTCTCTATAAACTCCTCAACAATTTGATAGACTGCCCGGCACTACTAGAACAAATAGGATTTTTAGTCCCATCTCTAAGAACTAGACAGAGGCTACTATTCTATCAACCAAGGCACAGAACAAATTATGGACAAAGTGCAATTGTTATTAGATTAGTCACAAACTACAACATACACTTGAGTGGACATTTTCAAGATTACTCTGCCCAAATTAAAAAGCCAAATTTGCTAATTTAATCTAGTGTTACTTTCTACCTTACTTTTTACCTTTATTTCGTGAGTTTGTTTTTTTTTCTCTTTTTATGTTTTGTATTTGTGTTTATAATAAATAAATAAATAAATAAATAAAATCATTTCAATTTAGAATCTGATCAGCTTACTTCTATGGGTAGGTTCAATTTAGGATTTTGATCATCATTGGTAGAGATGAATTAGAACATGTTAGAGCAGATTCTCACATGGAATATGTTCAAATAAGAATATTGGTGCAAACTGATCTAGTCCGATTCTTTGAGTAGATTGCAGTATCCACCGATTCATAGATTGTTAAATTTAAAATTCTGAGGCACTCTTGGATCATGATTGGCTGATTTCAAACATGCTCGAATAGGAATTTCTAAGTTATCTTAGAGCAAGCCATAATCACTGATCCGAAACATGCTTAAATTCGACTTTGAAGATGTTCAGTCAAAATATGGATCTTGATTTTATTTTGAACCAAAATCATTTCTACTGTCTGCAACGATGCTTAAATCCAAATCCTAGGGTAGTAAATTGAAGCACTTTTCTATAAACCTTTGATTTGAAAGTGTTTCAATTTAACAGTTGATTAAGAATAATGTTATATTGATTGATGTTATTTTCGAGCAAATCGGTCCCAGTTCCGAGACATGCTTAATTTCGAATCTTAGAGTGAATTGAAGTAACATCAAACAGACTCTAGTTCAGTTACTTAGAATCCTGATCCACTTTCATATCTTCCTGGTCAGAATTCTGATTTAACGCATGCTTGAGGAATATTCTTGGTATTATTTTGAAGCAAACTAATCCAAAACATGCATCAATCCGAATCTACCTTTAAGCAAATTCTGATTTGAGAGTTCTGACCAATGATCTACCAAGTTTCGAGCAGAATTTTGATTTAGAACAACTGATTGCTCTCAACAATCTGAACTGAAACCTGCTCAAGCCTGAATCTTGAAAAATCCCGATTCCTTTATTAATCTAGTAATTAAAATAGAGACCATTTTTCTTACTTAATTTAATTATTTATTTTTTTTGTTCTAGGTAAAGATTTGGTTCCAGAATAGGCGCATGAAATGGAAACGTAGCAAAAAGGCGCAGCAAGACGCGAAATCCAGCAAAGATCCCGAACTCGGGAGTAAATCGTCATCGAACAGTGATACGCATAAACCTAGTAGTTCGTCAATATCAAATTCCGAATGTTCTGAGTCCTTATTACAACATAACGGATCAGAAACTAAGAATCGATTATCGGACGAGGAACTTTTGTATCGACCATATGTCGGATGAACTAGTGACTAAAATATGTGATTTTTGTTTCCGATTTATTTATTTTTGTTTTCATACAGAGTGACAGGGGACTAATTTTAAAATTTAAAACTAGTATTTTAGTGCTTTTAGAAATCACCCTGTATGTATTGTCAAATAATTTTGCTCAAAACCAATTCATACTGTAAAAAAATCTGACAATCACTTGAAAATGAAAGAGAACAAGACACAGAACATATCACCTATAGAAAAATATCTCAAATGGGAGAATCGCGACGAAGGTTTTTAGTTAGGTTTTCAATCAACGATGGCGACACTGTCGGGAGATAAGAGAAATTTACAGGTATCTGTGGTGCGGACAGTGATTTGTGTTGGTTGGTTTTGTCATTTATTTTGTCATTTTAAAAGTCAAAATTTGAATTTTTAAATTGTGTTGTTGTACCCCTCGGCACAGAATGGTTTCCACGCGCGTTAAAGTGAAAATTCAAAAAGTTTTGGTTGAAAAAAACCCAAATTTTTGTTCGTATTTTTTGTATTTGTTCGTTTGTTTCGTTTCGTTCGTATTTGTATTTATTATTCGTATTTACTTTGCGATCTACCTATAGCTGCGTGTCGCTTGCTAACTTACTAACTCTCTTTGCACTATGTTCGACATTGGAAACTTCCTGCCAGTCATAGTTTTCAAGAAAATGAGGCGAAAAGAGCTAAAAGGAGTCAGCAAGCCAAATGCAGTTGAGCATTAAAAATTATTTAAAAATATTAAAAATATAGGGAAAAAATAGATTCGCCTTTTTGTCAAGAATGCTCGATTAGTTGGGTTTTCATTCAACGATGGCGCTGTAATTCATAACCGGTACATACCATTGCAGATACTTTTCTAGAGGTGATATGTTCTGTGGAACAAGATTTCAAAAAACACGTAAAGTCTTTACGAACAGTATTTGTTACTATTTATTTGTTTGATGTTTTATTTTTTTATATTCTTCTTGTATTTATGTTGTATTATTTTATTTTAGGATAAAAATTATTGTAAATTTTGTATATAAAAGGAATGTAAAAATTAGTAATTAAAAGTTGATCTCAATAAATCAATATTTATTCAGACAAAAAAATAACTGTAGTTCTGTATCACTACCTCATGGATTAGAATTATTGTTGATATAATTTTAAAAGAAAATGGATGTACATGTTTCCAGTTCCTAATTACCCAAATACCTAACGAGTTTTAAAATGGTAATTTATTGTAATGTAATTTTGAATAAATTATATGAGTTTTTAGATTTTCTTGTGTTTTATTTTCTCTCTAAATGTGGACTGGCAAATTTATGCGCATTTCTTATTCTAATTCGGTGGAAACAAAGAGACACTCGACTCAAATAAAATAAGGTAATAAACTAACATTTTGGATGCGACATGACAGAGTAGAAATGAGAATATAGGTAGATACATATTTTACTTGAATCTTTTTCAGGTTAAAAATTGAAAATTAAAGCAGCACAACCTGTAAATGAGTAGTTTCTCCTTAATTTTCCTTCTAAATTATTTCATTAGAGCTATCGTTAAGAGTAATGTGTCCCCACTGGATACCTAGGCATATACTTTGTCCCTCTCTTGATGATAATTATATTATTAGGTACTGAAAAAAAATTACAAACACTGGAGAAGCATTTAGAATCTACCTTTTTTTTTTCTAAAATTACAACTGAAAATGCCAGTAGCGTGACACAATCTCATATTATGAGATGAGACTTTTTTAAGCGCATTTTGTAATGAAAAATAAAAGTGATCCATTTGTGTTTTAATAAATTAACAAAATTAAATACTTAACTGCAACAGCTGCAAATTATTGTAAGATCATTTAGCATGTTTTGCTGAATAATATTTTAAATCGCCAACTGTTGAGGCTCGAGCGTGTTTAGCCAATAAAGCATTGACATCCAGTTTGTTTGTAGCTAATCCCCTGAAACACAATACCAAATTATTTCAAATTTACATATATATAATATTGTATATTACCTTATAAAGGGAGATATCTCAGGAACAGTCCACTTTTCTTTAGCTTTGAAAAGCACCTGCAATCTAGCCTGTATATTATCGGGAAGATCATTTTCCTCAAAGGCCCAAATAACTTTTGGATTAGAATTTTTATTAATAATGGCAATTCCATAAAGCATTTCTTCACTTGTAATCATTCCCTCAGGCACTGATTCACTCCAAGCTTGCATAAATTCGTCAAAATTGAATTTCTCTGTACGTAAGATTACTCTGGCGAAAAATTTGCATACGTCGGCTTCCTTGTATTTGTACATTTGCATTCCATCAATTATATTTGACTTTTCTGTATATTTTTCGAAAACAGGCGTAATAATTTCTTCGGGGATAATTTCCTTTAGAGCATCAAGAGTTTCATGAAAATCTATTGTATTTAAACTCCGCGAGTTTTCATCAATAAGTTGAACCATGTAAGATAAAACTCTAAATAAATATTCAAACTCTATTTGCCTTATATAGCCATTAATTTCAAAAATTTCCAAAGAATTCAAAGCTTCTGTTAATTCTGCATTTGAAACTTGAATTATGCCTTTTAAATCTTCTAAAGTATATAAATTGTTTTGGTCAATATTTTCTTCACATTCTGGCCCTTTGTAAATCGACTTTTCAAGAAGCCAAAAAAGCTTTTTCATTGAAGTTTTCGCAACGTGTGCTTCTAAATATACTTGAAACACTCCGGCAACTGTAATTTCTTGTACATTTTCCTCATTATTTTCTTTAATATCATCAAAATGTTTCACAGGCGTTATAAGTAATAAACTATTAGAAGTTTCAGCAAGATTAGCGTGAAATGTTGCAGTTTCAGAGCATATAACTACCTCATCATCGTCGTTGCCTTTTATGGTAAGTTGCTCATTGTTTTCAACTAGTTTGAGTAGTTCGTCGTTTAATTCGAGAAATTGGAAAGAAGTGTTTTGTAGGCTCGATGATTGGAAAAATAATGCTTGGGTGGTGGGTACTACATCGGTTTTTAGTACTTTGGCGTAGGAGAGAATTTCGTCGACGGTACTAATGGATCGTCTTGAACAAAAATAATTGATGATTAATATAAAATAATTGGTAATAATTAGTGGTTATCGCACAATCAGAAATAGAAGTTTTCTTAATTTAGAATTAGAAATTGTTTGTAACTGGCTTAAAGTAAATACGTAAATTAAAACTGTTGAATAATTAGTGAATAATAATGTTTTCTAATGCTCGGTCCAGACCAAGCAAATAAAAAGTAAACACAATTTTGAGACAAAAACGCGACAAAACTGCGACAAAAACTTGGGTATTCAGGCAAGACAAAATTGAGACACACTGTCCACATCGGAAAGACTAAAATGTGCAACAAAATTTAGTTGTTGATTAATGCGAATCAGTTACTTAACCATGTGGCGTTTCCAGAAAGAAAATTCAAAAAATGAAGATTTATTGCTAGCCGCCAGCTGTTATATCCTTCTCTCATCTTCATCCAATGTTGGACAAATGAAATGGAAACGTTTTTGAGTGAAACCAAGCTTAAAAAAGCGGAAAAGTTATTCCATAAATAAATTGTTAGTTCAGTTACGTGAGGATGATAATGGATTAAGTGGTGATCGAGATTTTCTAAAAATGTCCACCGAAGATTTCGAGAATCTAATATGCCTTGTTTGGTCCTGCAGTTGCCAAAAGACATCCTTACTTCAGAAATGCTATAAACCTTGCGTTCGGTATTTTGCTCGAAGAGCAGAGCGTGCTGAGCGGAGCCGTAATCACGTGACCAGCGAGGGAACAGAGCAGTTGAACGCTATATAAAAGTGCCAGAAATTTTAATAAACGAACGCGAATGAGGCTGCACCGAGTACACTTTTTGAATAAACGAACGGTAAAGTCATGCTCGGAGAACTCAGACCAAAATAACGAACGCACGGAAAGTCTGTTTTTTTTTTTAAAGATAATTCCCCAAGTCAAAAATTTAGTAACTATGTTGGCAACATAAGCCTTTTCTACATAAAAAAAAATTGAAAGCTGACAATTTTACATTGCATTGCCAACATAATGTCATTTTGACTTTTATCTTTAAAAAAAAAAACACACTTTAAGTATAACAGAAAGGTTAGCAATCACATTAAGATTTTTATCAACAGGTGATTCCTACCACAGGCCAAGTACACAACAACAGAACTAAAATCTGTTTTTTTTTTTTTAAAGATAAAAGTCAAAATGACATAATGTTGGCAATACAATGTAAAATTGTCAATGCTTTCAAATTTTTTATGAAGAAAAGGCTTGTGTTGCCAATATAGTTACTAAATTTTTGACTTGGGGAATTATCTTTAAAAAAAAACAAACTTTACATTTGTGTGATTTTCCACTGATTGACACTGGTCTCCTACTTTTGTCAGTACACCCGTCCACACTGCGCCGACAACTTGTCGTAAAATACACAGACAAAACAGAGACTCTTTGATATTTACCGACTCACGACAGGACTTTTAAAAGTCTCAGAATCTGGAAACCAAACAAAAATGTTGCAGAAATGTATCTGATTTGTCGCGAAAGAACAACATTATGTTGGAGGATTTTTTTATGTTTTTCAGGGTGTGATATCATTCTGTTGGATATTGGTTGGAAGCTCGGTTGGAAGCTGAAATAGGTAATTTCTAACTTAACATTAAATTTTCAGGAACTTGAAGTTCTTTTCCAGGCATTCCTTTCTTGAATTGAACAGGAAGCGAAATGGTTTTTGCTCTGGATATGGCACAAATGATCGCCTTCCTGGATAAGACGCTAATGTGCCTAAATAAGTAATTTCTAACTCAAACATTTTGTTTCCAGGTTTCTCTTTTTTATATCTAGTTTGCCTCGATAATTCTTTTTCAGTTAGGTTATCACTACGTTGGATATTGGACAGCATGCATTTTTGATGCATTATTTTAACCAATACCGAACTATCTATAGGAGGGTGGTAAGGTTGGCAAAGAAAACTTACTACAGTCAAAGGCTAGAGAAGGCAAGGCGCAAATTGAGACACGTATAGCGCGTGTGACATGGCGTGACACAGCGCGTTTTTTTGTAACTACAGGATTCAAATAGACCGGCGCATATTGGCCGACAAGCGCGACGTGACGCGACTCGCGCCAACAGAGAGTCGCGCGGCGCAGTTGTTCAGACACAGTTTCTCATGCCGCGTGTGGTATTTTCAACAAACTTTTTTTCTTTTTCTCTAAAAAAATGGCAGAGAAGAAGTTGATAGAGGCGGTAAAGGCACACAAAGAGCTTCACGATACAAAAGATGCTAACAATATGAAGACAAAACTGAAACATAGGATTTGGGATAACATGCTTTTCTAACCAGGCATAAAGCAACATTTTCCCTTCAGCATCATCTGATTCTAATTCGGAACTCAAGTCAAAACAAATTTCTTTCCTTCGTGGATCAGAGATTTCCTGATGCGCTTGATGACTCGCGTCACTAAAACTGCGGCTCAATATGCGGATCACCACGCAGTGCGTATGGCACGTACGTGTCGTGTCTCTCGTGTCACGTCACACGCGCTATATACATTCACATATATAGGCACCTAACTAAAAACGTGCTCCTTTCTGTAAAAGGTCTAAACTTAATCAATATTTTTTAAATCTACCTACCACAAATAAACGCAAAAAGCATGAAAATTCAGTATTTTCAGGTTGCCTGAGGTAGTATTAGAAAAACCCCCGTATACACAAAACATATCCGAAACTAGTCATAGGATCGGTTTGTACCCATGGTGCGGGGTCCTTTATGACAATTCTATTACAATGACAATAAGAGGTACTAAAATTAACAAAAACTTGCCTAAACTGGCCACTCTGATCTATTTCTAAATTTCTACTAAAGACTAGTACTAATTAACCTAAAATGCTAAAACTATCCTATTTTTCAAAAAGTATAAATTCCTGCCTGCTGAAGATGAACGAAGGGAGAGATTCAAAGATTTCAAATAAGCGGCTGGTGCTGCTTCTAATTAAAACTGAAATTGCAACAGTGTTCTTTATTTGATTTTCTATCAGCTTTTGGTAAAACTTTGATTTCTTAATATGTTTTTAACAAAAGAGACCTTATCTTACATGTGAACTTTGTGGAAATGGTTTTAGTGATGGTATTTATTTGGAATTTTTGACATTCACTTAAGGAGTCATTTGTGCACAAGACCTAAAATCTGTTTTTTTTTTAAAGATAATTCCCCAAGTCAAAAATTTAGTAACTATGTTGGTAACACAAGCCTTTTCTACATGAAAAATTTGATAGCATTGACAATTTTACATTGTATTGCCAACCTAATGTCAGTTTGACTTTTATCTTTAAAAAAAAACGCACTTTATCAAATTTTTAGTGTTTTTTTTTTCAATGCGGTTTTCTGTTGTTGTGTTAAAGGCTGTTCTGTTAAAGAAGGAGATAGTACTGAAACGATATGTTGTTTCATTTTCAAAAAATAGGGTTTAATAATAAAATAAAATTGATTAAACAAATTATTTGAAAAAAGGCCACAGTAGAAGCACTTTCATGTGCCACCGCTTCAGCACAAAAAAGTAAAGCTTCTACTCCTAATACAACAATATACTATTTTTTATCTCTATTTTTAGATAGTCTTTAACGCTTGAATGTTTCCAGATCTCCCTTTCCTAAATCCAGTTTGTCTTCTTTATCCTTTTTCAGTGTAGGTCATCATTTCCCATTGGATATTGGGAATGGTTTCGCTCTGGAAATTGCACAAACGACTACCTTCAGAGAATTCACATCAACAGAGGTTTCATGAATCATTATTATTGATAATACTAAATTAGAAATCATTGAATCATTGCCTCATTTTCTATGGGTGGCAAAAGAGCATTATTATAAATGGAGGATTAAAGGTGCAAAGAACAAAACAAAAAAGAACTGGGAAATAGTTAATCAATTGAGGGGTAAAGCCAATTTATTGCAAAATAATATTGAACTTGAATAATTTTTACTGCACAATAGGCGTCCAATTGATTTCAATTTTAAATTCCAAGAAGGATCCCATGGATTCTTTGGTCATATCCTCGGTCATATCTATGTTCCTGAAATTTTTATTTTAGAAAGAACAAATCTGGAAGAAGTAAGGATGATTTTTAGAGAAATATTAAACAAGAATTTGGCAGGCTACGATGGAATCTCAGTAAGAATATTAGAGTGCTTGCCGGAGTCTGCATTGCATGCACTTGCAGGTTCCATTAATCAATCATTTGCGGTAGGCGAATTTCCAACATGCTTAAAAAATGCTGTTGTAGTTCCGTTGTTTAAGGGGGGTGATATGAGTGATCCTTCCAACTTTCGTCCTATTTCCCTTTTATCTACGCTTTCGAAGGTCATTGAGAAAATAGTGAAGAATGATTTTTTGGAAAATAACAAAATATTAAATCCTGTCCAGTTTGGTTTTCGTTCGGGTAAAAATACAGATGATGCCATTTTCTCCTTGCTCCATCAGGTTTATCAAAATATAAATTGTGGCGATGCTGTTGCAGCAATATTCTGTGATTTTTCGAAATCATTCGATTGTGTGGATCATGGATTGTTGCTGTGGAAGCTGAGACACTATGGGTTTGGGGAGCTTACAATGAAATGGTTTTCTACCTATCTTAAGGGGAGAATGCAGATGGTAACAGCGGATGGCCAATACTCTGATAAATCACTAACTACAAGAGGCGTTCCACAAGGCTCTGTTCTCAGACCCATTTAACTTTTGTTGTATTTGAATGAGTTAGCAGCTTTTAAGATTCAGGGTTCGTTTACATTTTTTGCGGATGATACTAGTCTTCTTTGGCATGGTAAGAACAGGGATGACCTCAAATTAACTGTTGATAGGGACCTGCGTGAAGTTAAGCTTTGGTATGATCACCATTGGGTTTTGCTTTAATGATTTGTATTTGAATGATAAAATTGTAGAAAATAAACCCCTTACAAAATTTTTAGGTCTCATCATAGACAATAAACTTAAATTTGAGAACCAATATAAGGGTACTAAGTAAAAGGTTGTCTGCTGGTTGCT